TAAAAGAATCGCCTGGTATATAACACCAAATAGCAAATTCCAAAATTATTTAATAAGCTCCGTTTAATGTTTTATTGTTCATATGCAGGCAACCATCGAGTCTGGAAAGACGGAATTCGAAATTCGTGACCTAACAGCCAAATTCACTACAGACGTGATTGGCACGTGTGCGTTCGGACTGGAATGCAATTCACTGAAAGACTCGCAATCCGAATTCAGACGAATGGGATGTGCGGTGCTCAATTCTTCCACGTCTTTAGCGTTGGCTAAAATGATCCGAGTGTTCTTCCCAAAAATTTTCAAGGCGTTGAAATTGCGTACGTTCCCGGCCGAAGTGCAACAGTTCTTCATGGGCATTGTAAAGCAGACAATCGACTTCCGGAACACCAACCCAGTGCGTCGGAACGACTTCATACAGCTGTTGCTTGAGATTAAAAGCCAAAATCACCTTCAAGAAAACGCGGTTAATTCCATTGAACTGACTGAGGAGTTGATCGCCGCTCAAGTAAATACATAAAAGATAAAACCTATTCATAATATACAAGGTCCACAGATCACAATAAGGTTCCTCATAAAGTCATAAGTTGTGATAAGTTTAAGCTAACCATTAAAGCAGTTCAAAAATATCAAAGATACGTATTATTTTTGTATAAGCATTTAAATTTCAAATATAGACGAAATTATGCATATTAAAACGGATAATAACAATTAACAATTTATTTTWGTTATTTTTGTTGCAATTTAAAAATAATATTATTATTGGGTTGTTGAAACTTTAAAATGTATAATTATGTTTTATGCACACAATGGTGTTTTCATATGCAAAGTTTTCAGCAAAAGTTATTCAATCTTATTGTATTACCAATAGTAAGATAAAATACTTTAAAAGCAATAATATCATTAAATATATTTAGTTATATAGGTTGACAAATCGTCTACATTSAAAATCGTTTTTCGTATACAATTATTTTATAATTTTGAACTCAAATTGAACACATCCGTAGAGGAATAGTGACCCACTCTAAACTTAATATACAYAGCGATACGCTGGTAGTCACCCACTTCCTGTCCACCTTTTTTTTATASTTTTTTGTAAACAACTGTAACTTTTTTTTTATATATGCCTCCTCATATCATTATCCACACAAATTAATTACTATTAATAGTTGAAATTTGATAAATACAATATTCTTACACAAATTGTCCTGTTTAATCTATTTTAGGTTAATAATAATTATCAACTCACGTTTGTGTATTATTTCTTATATTACAAAATATGTAATATTCATGATAAATATGAACATATTTTTAAAACATTATCGAACATAGATTATGGTAGATTATGCGAATTTGATTACCAATTTTTTTTAAATGCAAAATTCAAACAATTCCCTATGATACAACTAAATCATCGTCTATTATAATGCAATGATAATATCATACAAATACTTACTCAAACTTGGATTTCAAAGGTGTTCGTGTTCTTCTTGGCCGGCTTTGAGACCTCGTCCACAACACTGAGTTTTTGCTTGCATGAGATGGCTGTCAATCAAGACATTCAAAACAGGGTGTACGACGAAATCAACGAAACAGCCAATAGGTATGGGCTGCCGTTCTCTTATGAAGCAATCTCGTCAATGAACTACTTAGAACAATGTCTGAAAGGCAAGTAATCACATTGCGCTTGACCGTCGTTTTTCACAAATCGTACACGCGTTTCATACTAATATACCTAAGTTGTAATATGCAAATATTGAAATATGTAATGCAATACTTATAGTTATAAATACGTAGTATAAGCAGTAAACCACAATCGGGCATAATACTTAGGCTGCTTATTTCACCAGTACGCGTGAGTAATCAGTCAGTGGTGTAATATGATTATAATATATTTGTTCGAGTGTGTATGGGGAGGGGGTGATAAATATCACCCAAAATATTTTTTGTATGTGTGCGTTTAGGATTTAAGTGCCCTCAATATAATTATTGCAGTTTTATGAAAATCTCTTTAACTAATAATTATGGTCTGAAACTCTGAACCAAATCATGTGACAACTATTTRTCATTTTAGATTACTTTTATACGGATCAGAGTATAATATAGACAATACAGTGAAACCTCTAAATACTGGACACTATATATCAGTATTTGAAATTATAAATACTATAAAATCTTAAAATTCAGAGGGCTTAGGTTGTAGAAAGTTAATTTTTAGTATGTTCATAAAAAAAAAAAACGCCCCTCGAAAATTCAGAGGTACCTATCAGTTATTCGAAGAAGTTTCACTGTGTTGTACTAATGTTTAATACACTAATGGAGATGTGTGTTATAGTTATATAGGAAAGAATTATAGGGGTGATACGACAGTATGATACCCATATCTCCCACGTATAATATTACACTACAACTACAATGATAATCATCAWAATATTATATATGTTATATTATATTAATATTATATATTTATTGTTTCTATATTGTAATACGTATATATATATAATCGCCACGTGGATCCTTACGATTTCCGATTTCTGCATTATCACTTTAAAAGCTCCCAGGTCTGGGCGTTAGCAATCCAATCACTTTATTTTACTAAATAATACCCGTAAACCGAACAGTTGGATTTTATTCGTTTAAAACACTTTTGATAATAGGTACATAATATTATGACATAAAACAGGAATGGAAAATAATTTGAACGCAACGAGCCACGAAAAATATATATTATAATATAGCCAAAATAATATATATGTAATAAAAATATTTAAATTTTTTGCGTGCCATGGATTTGCCATCCCTTTATGCCATCAAGCATTATAATATTTCCAATATTGGGAATAATTTATTTATATAAACTCACCTATGACTTTACGTAATTGAATAAATTAATGTATTTATTACATTCAGAAAAGGGGACAATCCATTAAATTGTATTATTCATGAGTCATGACAAATTGGTTTTATTATAATYTAAAACTAACCCTGGATTCTATATTCAGACAACAAATTTATAATCTACTTTCCTGGTTAAAATGTGGACTATTCTACACAAGTTATTCAGATTTTTATATGTTGCTTACCCAAATGCATAGGTGTATTGGCTCGGCTGTTAGGGGTTATAGTTGTTAGGGCAACCCCCTGAAWTTTTAATTATATACCTACGCCACAACCCGGATAATGTACTCTCTAAATTCTAGTAAGTCTGACTCTATAAGTCCAGCAACAAATAAACACCATACATCGTTCTCTTATAAAGCACAATATATGCGTCAATAATAATAATATTATTATAACGAACATAAATCGTCGATATTTGTGTAATTTTCCGAGTGTTTTTTTGTTGATTTTTCGGTGAATTCATTGCAAACATTACATCAACGCCTCGCAATACATAATATGGTCCCCCGGAACCTAACTATTACGTACCGTAGAAACGATGAGAAAATATCCACCAGTACAGGCTTTATCCCGGGTGTGCACCAAACAATTCAAAGTTCCCGGCACAAACTTGGACCTGGACGTGGGCACGGCCGTTTTGATACCAGTGTACGCGATACATCACGACCCACAGTACTATCCAGAACCAGACACGTTTGATCCAGACCGATTCGCTAAAGACGGCGACGGCGGCGGTGGCGACAATGGGAGACCAGCCGGAGTTTATTTGCCGTTTGGCGATGGCCCTAGAATATGTATAGGTATGTTTTTCAAAACAAATTAACCAGCAAATTTTGATTTATAGATTAGTTGATTTTACGTAAAACGTTATTTTACCGATTTTTTTTATAATTAATGGTATTTATTAATACATACCCAAATTGATTAACAAAGATCTTTATGAGGAATATTATATTCAATTTTCAAGTCCGATATGTTACATTTAATAATATTATGATAAACTACAAAATAATGCAAAACAACTTACTTAATTTTAGTCAATACTCATTTTCGTGAGTTTGGCAATTTATCAAGGGAAACTGAAAAAAAAAAAACTAAAACTGTCTATAAATAAATATAAAAAATATTGCCTAAATATTTATATCATCGATTATAGTGAATAAATATATTATGGATTTATAAAACAAYTTGCCTGTACCAAAAAATTAGACAGCCGGTAAGTTGTGTATTTATGTTGTTTTTTTTGACAGGTATGCGTTTTGCCATGTTAGAAATGAAACTGGCGTTGGCCCAGTTCCTGCACAGCTATTTGGTGACTCTGAGCGACAAATCCTGTACACGCATCGAGTTCGAACCGGCGTCATTCTTATCATGCCCGAAAGGCGGTATATGGTTGAACGTCAATAAACGTCAATAAACCATAAGACGACATCACACAGACCGTGGTTTTTGTGTAGGTATGACAAATGACAATGCCATCATACAACGTGTAATTTGAATCATGATATTATTTAGGAATAATATTGAACTCTTTATTTTTGTTTTGTACGATTTTACATGTAAGAAATAATTTCTTTTATTATGTTGTTTTGTTTTATTAAATAAAAGATATTTTTGTACTGCATTTTTGTTCATTGGAGGATAGATCTCTAGATAGTATACCTACTATCGTATTACAATTTACAATATTCCAGCACGTCAGCACGTGTAGTTAGACTTAGTGCGTAACATAGTAAAGTTTTATTATACTCTTATAAAATTAAAAGGATTATTATCTAATCAATCTCATAGACTTTTTATCATATTTTAATTTTCATTCAAGTTATGAGTATTTTATTATGTACAAACTATTTACAATTTTAAAGTACTCATAACTAGAGGTAAATTCTAAACTAACAGAGCTAAATGTCATCTGATGAGCATACAATTTGCTATGTTACACACTAACGCACTTGTAAAACGAAGACAACATATTTGAGTATCTTCAATAGTAGKTATCCGAGTTAATACGATGATACAAAAAAGGATAATATTTTGTACCATCGGTAGACGATAGGTAAGTACTCTATCTCTATTGCGGGCGTTTCAGTCTGTTTTTCGTCAAAGTGACTCTCATATAGTCTCATCTATTATTATCACCGCGACACGGTATCCTTCTTAGGCCTTAAGTTATATTCCAATTTCCGTCAAAATCAATTAACTAATTTTTTTAAGTATTTTTTGAAAACCTCTGAACCTAAATCCATCAAATCGATTACGTTCATCTACATATACATCATGCCAAGTAGGTAATAAAGTTCCCATCATAGTTACGTATTCACTTTGAAGAGCAGGTAATCATAATAATTATTTAAAAATGTAATTACAAATGTAAGTAAGTACGTTTCCTCTTAAGTTATAGACCGAAGCAACTTCTTMATTTACAAGACACAAGAACAGCAAATGCATGTGACAATTTTGTTTACAAACCGATGTATCAATATTCTGAAATTTTAAATGTAAATGAGCCAAAAACTCYAAAAAAGAGTTGTCTAAAATTATATCATAATATAACTATTTTATTTTTTGTAACCAATAACAAACTTATGAGAAATAGAAATTTATTGTATTTTGGTTGAACAGATGGCGCCAATATTGTGTTTTTGTCATACAGATTTCCTACTTTTTCTCTACAAACGAAAAAAAAATAGGCTACTGACAAATTGGTTAAGCCTATTCGGGGTTTATCCCAAACAAAAACGACATATAGTTTTATAATATCAATTATATAATATATATTGATAATCAATAACGATAAATTAATGTAATCTAATTGAACTTTAAAATATTTAATGGATATTTCAAGAGATCCTCAAAAAACATGAAATAATATGCTTAATTTTTTTTTTGTGGAATTATTACGGTCAAAGGTCACTTAKGCGAAATGCRGTGACGATCACTCTTGCAGCACAATTGCACGCMGTGCCATGGCGCCACACCGCTGAGATGGTGGTAAAAATATAAAAACTTTTTTTCATGTTCGACGTCGTTCATAATAATGTACTTACGAAATGCCTACGTTCTGCGTACACACGCGGTCGCCGTTTAACGATACGAAAACGGTTTGATCGAAAACTAGGATAGAACGGCACAACCAACTGTCTAACTCTCTAACTGAACCAACAAGTATAGAAAAGGCAACGACGATCGTATTTTGCCAAGAATATACTTGCCGCCCACCTGAAAATATCACTTTTTTCCGCTACACACGCACACACACACATATCCGYATAATGCGTTAGTACATAATTTATTTCGCAGTTTTCTTCGCGTCTAGTGTTTGATGATTTAAATATTATTTATATACTCTCAACTCTGTATAAATAACAAACAAGGTTTTTGTTGATAATATACCTTTTAATGATTTTTTAGCCATTAAAATTTGATTTACACACTTAACAATACGAAAAAAGAAGAAACTAAAATTGCTTGTGTACCTATACAAAAATTATCTTTTATTAATTTAACAAATTTATAATCAATTACAAAATATAATATTATAACAATTGAACGAACAGTTACAAATGCATAAATTTATATAGGTACATGTTTCAAATAAAAAAAATGAACGTACAGATTTGAAAAAATATTTTATAACTGGCAAAAAATAGAGCAAAGTTGCTATTATCATATGGAAAACATTTTTGAAGAGATAAAATATGTATACATTTTTATGAATTAGCACAAAATGGCTAAATTATTACATTTTTACAAGTAAAAGATTTTCAAAGTCGAAAAAGGGGTTGGGGGAATAAACAATATACATATAATGTAAAGAATGTAAAGAAACAAACAAATACACAAAATAAACGTCGCTTACAGTAAAAAAATTTACAAAAATATAACTTTTAACACATGGTTCAAATACAAAAAGGGGAAACATTTAAAAAAAATATTAGAAAATGAGAAAAAATAGCACAAAATTACTATAATTTAAATGTCGTGAGTACAAGATTTATCCGAAAAGAGGGGGGGGGGAGACAAACAACATAGAAAAATGAGATGAACAACAGCAGTACAGTCTACAGTATAGTACAGTCTGGCTCTTCAATGTCCTGAGCCGGCTCAATTTCGTTCTCAGCTTCACACGTCTTCACCGTATCGTCGAGTGGGCCGTCCTTGGGAATCGGAGTGGGTTCCACTGCGGTCCCTGAAGACGCAACGCTCGACACTGCAGAAGATACTAAAGATACCAATGACCAGGTGTCAATTTTCGTCGGCAGTAGTGCATTATTGTCGAATGGCGACGGGCCCCAACTCCAAGAACGGCGCGTCGCCACTCGACAATAATGCACTACTGCCCACAAAAATTGACACCTGGTCATTGGTATCTTCAGTATCTTCTGCAGTGTCGAGCGTTGCGTCTTCAAGGACCGCAGTGGAATCCACGGGTTCCGACTCTTGAAACAGCTCGACAATTCTCGACATGGTATCTTGATCGATARCATGCAGAAGAGTTATGACCCAGGTATGCATGTTGTAGTTTTCGCCATAAAATCCGTCCATGATGCCCATTTACTTCATGCAGAATATGGAGTAGTTCGACTTTTATATCGTGTATGTTACGATAATGAGCAGCCATTTTTTAAATGTACGTATGTAGTCGCTGGTCGAATAAAAAATTGCAAATGAACTAAAAACGTCCTTTTCAACACAGAGACCGATAAATTTAAAAATCTCCTTGACGACTAAGTTTGTTACTAGCCAGCGAGTACGATATAATCGTTTGCATTGGCCAGCAACATTAGAATTTCGAGTGCGTTTATTTTCCTAAACTTTCTGCAATATTAGCGATTCAAATACCTTATACTAGTTATACTATTTTTTTTT